TAGAGAAGGCTTGTTTCAAAGAACCATGATATCAGTGGCGTAGAAGACTTTCTGCCGCCCGTCAACTCCTTTCCTCTCATTTTATATAAAGTTGGTAATAAAAATCGTTTATTACTTGAAAATTAATAAAAGAATATTTATTTTTTATACTTATTAATAAACTTAATTTAAAAATCAGTATAGCATATTATGATCTAGACTCAGATAATTTTTACATTGGAGTTCGAGTTTAATCTCAAGACTGTCTCTGAATTCCGTCCTAAAACTAACTAACTACATAATTTTTTTTTTATAGGAGAGGGGGCAAACGAGCATGCGGCTCACCTGATGGTAAGTGACTACCGCCGCCCATGAACAACTGCAACACCAGGGGAATCGCAGATGCGTTGCCGGCCTTTTAAAAAAGAGTACGCTCTTTTCTTGAAGGTCCCTAAGTCGTATCGGTCCGGAAAAATCGCTGATGGTAATCGATTCCACAAGGAGGTCGTGCGAGGAAGAAAACATCTTCTAAATCGCACAGTGGTGGACCGCCAATCATCCAGATGGTGTGGATGGTATCGGGAGTTCTGCCGCGATGTGCGTTCGTGAAATTTGGCGGCTGGGATTAATCCGAACAATTCCTCAGAGCACTCCCCATGGTAGATGCGAAAGAAAATGCAAAGGGATGCAACATCTCTTCGCAGTGCCAATGAATCGAGCCGATCGGAAAGGGCTCGGTCGTCGACAATTCGAGCCGCTCTGCGTTGGATGCGGTCAAGTGGAAGGAGCTGGCACTGGGGAGCCCCTGCCCAGAGATGGGAACAGTATTCCATGTGAGGCCGAACTTGCGCCTTGTAAAGTAGCAGGCGGTGTGCCGGCATGAAATACTGTCCCGCTCTGCTGAGCACGCCAAGCTTTTTAGAGGCCAATTTGGCCTTCCCTTCCAAGTGACCACGAAACTGCACGTCACTCGATATGTCGACTCCGAGGATACCGATACTGGCTGAGGCAAGAAGGGGAGTGCCTTGAAATCGACGGATTCAACTCGGTTGGGCAGCTTTCATAAGATTACGACACATCTCATCAGGCATACTCCAAAACTTCAAAACAAGATTGTACAATCAGTGTCTGTTGCCAGTGACGACTTACACTGCTGGGCGTATGAGAAAGCTCAAGGTCGCTCAGCGAGCTATGGAGAGGGTTATGCTCGGGGTTTCTCTGCGTGTTAGATTTTAAAAAGAGAATGTTCTCAGTAGAGCCGACATAGCCCAACGGGTTAGTATCTAACCTGACTGGCAATGGATCGGCCATATAGCTCGAAGAACAGACAACTGATGGGGAAAAAGAGTTCTCGAGTGGCAGCCTCGTACCGGTGAACGAAGTGTAGGGCGTCCCCCCACTGGATGGAGTGACAACCTGGTAAGACATGCAGGAAATCGATGGATGCAGGTGCCTCAGGACCGTGCTTTGTGGCATTACTTGGAGGCCTATATTCAGCAATGGACTTGTGAAGGGATGTAATGAATTAATTAATTCAAATCACATAAATAGTATGAAACGACTGCAGCGTCAAAACTGCAACCCATCAGTTATTGCGATCGCATCACACTAGTGGCAACTACGGCAAATCCAAAAAAAAACTGGTCAAGAGCGTGTCGGGCCACGCACAATGTAGAAGCAGGGTTCCGTAGTTGGTTCACAATACTTTGGCTTTCTTGATAATGAGCATAAGTGAATTCGCGATTTGGCCACTATAAGGACTAAAAATGGGCCCAAATAGGAAGATCGTAACTGAAGGACTTATTTTCAAATCATAATAATAGTGGTATACAAACCAGCGTAAAATAGCAGCTTAACGCTGCTGTGTTTCGTATGGTGAGTGTAGAGAACCGGAGACCCGTTTTACTGGAAACGAGGCATTCCATCTTAGTCCTCTAGGGTGACAACGCTTCTGCATTTTAATTCGTAATGGAGGATAGATGAGTATATATCTAGAGCCATGCATTCCTCCAAAACCCACTATACAGTGTTAATGGGACACTTCAACGCAAAACAGAGAACGGTGAGCTGAAGGTAGGGAAATTTGGAATAGGGCAACGGAACCCAAGTGGCCAGCAGCTGGCCGACTTCATGGAGAAAGAGGGACTCTTCATGATGAACTCAATCTTTCAGATGCGGCCCCACAGGATGGACCTGGTTGAGCCCCGTGGTTCGACAAAAAATGAGATTGACTTCACAAATGACCACCAGACGACAACTATTCAGTGATGTCTAAGTGATCGCGAGGGTGAAAACTGATAGCGATCACCAAATGGTTAGAGGCACGCTAAACCTAAACGTTAAGATGGAGAGGTATCGTCTAATGAAGTCAACGCTCCTTCCCTCTTGTGCTCTAATCCAAAGTACCGAAACCTTTCAGCTTAAGCTACAAAACCGTTTTCAGTGCCTATAAGATTGCAATGCAGAGGTCGATATGAATGACAAGCTCGTGGAAACTGTCCATGCGGTCGGAGCTAAGTTTTGCAATACCTGCCGCAGAAGAACACAAAAACTCTCCGATCACACTCTTAATCTCATGGCTGTTACACGGGAAATGAAGCTGCAGCCTTCAGTACATTTGACAGTGTACAGGCAACTGAACAGACAGATCTCCAAATGCATGAGGCGGAACTTACACAACTATAATACTGCTCGTATTGAAGAAGCGATCGAGCGGAACCAAGGCTCCAGTCTTTGCCAAAGATCTTTCTGCCAGAAAGAGCCAACTGTCGAAGGTGAAGACCGAGTGTGACAGCGTCGTTTCTGGGACACCTGAGATTTTGAGCGAGATTGAGAGGTTCTATGGGCAGCTGTACACGTCATCGTTGGAACCACACACAAGTGTGAGTAACGATCCAAGAGCAAGTCTTACCAGACACTATTCCGATGACATTCTGAACGTCAGTCTGAGCGAGATTAGAATGGCTCTCTAGCACCTTAGAAAAGCAAGGCCCCAGGCAAGGATGGAATTACAGCGGAGCTTCTGAAAGCGGGTGGAAAACCGGTACTTGAAGTCCTTCAGAAGCTCTTTAATTCCGTCCTCCATGGTGGCACTACACCGGAGGCGTGGAGCAGAAGTGCGTTGGTTTTGTTCTTCAAGAAAAGCGACAACGTTCACTTGAAGAATTACAGACCGATTTCCCTTGAGCCGCGTCTACGTTGTATTTTCGTGAGTCATTACGAATCGTCTCGCATGCAGACTCGACGACTTCCAGCCTCCCAAACAAGCCGGTTTCCGAAAAGGCTTTAGCACCATAGACCACATACATACCCTTCGGCAAATCTTACAGAAGGAGGAGTCCGAGGAGTACAATTTGCCACTATGTCTGGGGTATGTGGACTATGAGAAAGCCTTTGATTCCTTCGAAATTCGGGCGGTGCTGCAGTCCCTTCAGCGGTGCCAAGTTGACTGTCGGTATATCGAAGTGCTGAAGTGTTTGTACAGTAGGGCTACGATATAGTCCTTATGGCAGAATCGCTGGTGGAACTAAGCACTTTGCTTAATGACTTCAATAGTGCCTCCCTACGGATAGGTCTTAAGATGAACATGGACAAAACAAAGACCATGTATAACGTCCATGTCACACCTATGCCGGTAGTTGTTGGGAGCACTAAGCTCGAAGTTGTCGATTAGGTAACTCCAACTTCGACCGGGAGGTCGATCGACGGATTCAACTCGGCTGGGCAGCGTTCGGGAAATTACGGCACATGTTCTCGTCAAGTATACCTCAAAACTTGAAAACGAGACTGTACAACCAGTGCATGTTGCCAGTGATGATCTATGGAACTGAGACGTGTTTCTTCACTGCTGGCCGGATGAGGAAGCAGTTTATCTGGAGATTCCCTGCGTGATAAACTTAGAAATGAGGATACCTGCAGTAGAAACAGAGTGACCGACATAGCCCAACAGATTAGTAAGCTGAAGTGGCAATGGGCCGGCCATATAGCTCGAAGAACCGACAACCGATGGGGAAAAAAGATTCTCGATTGGAGGCCTCGTACCGGCGGACGAAGTGTAGGGCGTCCCCTCACTAGATGCAGTGACGACCTGGTAAGATGTGCAGGAAGTCGATGGATGCAGGTGGCTCAGGACCGTGTTTTGTGGCATTACTTGGGGAAGGCTTATGTTCAGCAGTGGACTTATGAAGGGCTGTAATGATGATGATGATGATGATGATTTATCCTGCTATACGACGTGTATTTAGCAACTATGTTTATACTAAATGCTAAAATTTTTAGGAGCCACCAGTAGACCAAACTGGTAATTTTAAAATGTTGCTTAATGATAAAATAACCCTCTTCATTTTATATTAAGTTATTTTTAAAAGTGATAATTAATTAGTTACTTTTTTGATTAAGAAAACTTAATTTTTTTTTATTTTATTAAACAAAACTTGTTAAATAAGGGTACATGATTTGATAACAACCCCTGAGAATGAGAAGATCGCTATCATGCTGTTTTTAAATGTTTTCATACTTATTTGTATAAAATGTTAGATTGTAAATTAATGTTTAAAAAAGTCCCGCAGAGTTTCTTGCTGGTTCAGGACAGAGGTTTTTCTGAACCAGCTGTAAAGCTTAAATGACTTTCAATAAGTGTTCTTGTTATCCAAATTGAATAACAGATTCTATTCTATTGTTTTTTTTTTTACTTCATTACATTATTTCATTTTATAACTTTTTTTTTTATCTGCCTTTAAGCTAATGCTTTAAATTTGAATTGCTAATACTTACGATTTGAATTGCTAATGCTTTGAAATTGGAACATTTTAGTTTCTAAAAACCTTAGATAACAGTACTAGTTTAATTTATTAATATTTTCGGGACTGAAAGAATTGTTGATATTATGTCTCATAATATATTTATATGTTATATAAAATCATTTTAAAATTAATAAATAAATATTTAAATGTAGAAATTATTTATTTACTTACTATTATTATTATATTTGTATTTACTTTATTAACATTACAGATATAATTTTACTTTACTATATTTATGTGGTAATACTTTTTGTCATTTTCGGATATTACATTTGGAGCACCAGACAACGGGTCTTTGCCGTCATGGGACTTTGGAAATGCTATAACATCTCTAATTGAGTCAGCATCACAAGTTAATGTCATTAACCGATCAATTCCTAGAGCAATTCCAGCATGAGGTGGGCATCCGCTTCTCAAAGCATTCATAAAATGAGTCAGTTTATTTGAATCTAGGTTCAGCATTTTTAATAGTTTTTCTTGCAGGTTAACATTATGAACTCGGACAGAGCCACCTCCAATTTCATTCCCATTCATAACAATATCATAAGCCAACGACCTAACTTTTAGTGGTTCGGAATCCAACAAATGCATATCATCAGGATGTGGTGCTGTAAATGGATGGTGACATGTTTCTAATCCATTTTCGCCCTTCACAAATAAAGGAAAATCCACCACCCATAATGGTACAATACCTTCTTTGACCTCAATAAGCCCTTTTGATTGTAATAATCCCCTTAAAAGTTCCCTAACTTCTCCCAAACATAAGCACACTTGCTCATTCTCACCAATAGCAATAACTGATGAGTTACAATCACCAACAATGTTTTGTATTTTATCACTTAAGTCTGTTGAAAGTTCTTTAGAAATATTTTCATTTAAAATAATTCTTACTGTATATTTTTTCTTCAATTCACTTAATTTTTCTTTATACTTTGCAGTTAATTTTCCTAATTTACTAGGATATGGCAAAGCAAAAGCTTTAAGATCCACACAATCATTGCTTTCACTAAATAAATTTGTGACATTTTTTATCTTCAACTCATATGTCATATTTGGTTTATCAGTGCCATAGTTTTCCAAAGCATCCTTGTAAGTCATTCGCATAAAAGGTGGCTTAGGAAGCTCTTTTATCACTGTCTCATAGAGTAATTCTTCAACCATAGTTAAGATATTATCTAAATTAGTGAATGATTGTTCTATATCAAGTTGAGTAAACTCTGGTTGCCTGTCAGGTCTCGTGCTTTCATCTCTATAGCATCTTGCAATTTGAAAATATCTATCACAGCCTCCCGCCATTAACATTTGCTTAAACTGTTGTGGACTTTGTACTAAGGAGTAAAACAACCCAGCATGATGGGTGGGAACAACAAATTCCCTTGCTCCTCCTGGAGTTTGACAAAAAAGGGTTGGCGTTTCAACTTCAACAAATCCATGCTTCTCAACCAGTAATCTCCTCATATTGTGAAGCATCAAAGACCTTTGTCTTAAGTTTTGTTGCATTTTAGGAAACCTTAAATCTATATAGCGGTGCTGCAACCTTAGTTGTTCCTTAGGTTTTTGGTAGTCCCTCAAGTTAAATGGTACATTTTCGGCTATATTTAGTATTTCCAACTTATCAATATCAACCTCTATTTCACCAGTAGTCATATTATTATTTATCGCGGCTGTTGGTCTTGCCTGCACTTTACCATCTATTTTCACTATTGTTTCCAAAGGGATATCATTCAAATTAATACTATCATTGTTGATTATACATTGAGTAATGCCATAGGAATCCCTTAAAAGAAGAAATTTATTCAGGCGTAAATACTGCACCCAACCACATAGTGTCACTTTTTCTCCAATATTAATTGATCGAAGCTCACCACATGTATGAGTCCTATACGTAAATGTATTGCAATTTGGTAATGTCTTGATTTCATCTCTGACTACTTGTTGATTTTGGCGAGGTGTAAGTGTTTGTTTACATCTATAAGTTATTAAATGACATAAGCGTATCTTCTGTATATTTCCACATTTTTTTATTTTATTAACATATTGTATTGGCGTCTCAAGAGACACACTAGACAGTTTATACAAATTTAAAACTCTACTAGCCAGCATTTTAATTAATGAATAAATATGTTAAAATATTCCTAACAAGAATAATTTATGAACATTATGTACAGGTAAATAGGACGTAAGGTTATGTCGTAATTTAGCTAAACTGGCTATTGGTTCCCCTCCTTATATTGATTAAGACGTTTTAAGTTTCTCTGTTATTTGTTATAAGATTATTGTTCTGGGAAATAAATTACAGATTTTGTTTTAATGTTTTATCAGTTCTACATATGTAGATACATATTAGAATTAGAAGTAATTTTTTTATAACTGGCTTTACAGCTCTGGGTTCTGGCACTTCTGATTCTGAGCCTAAAATAACAATGCATAATTATCCTTCATAGTACATTGCTTCAAAATATGTTGATATGTCACATTGTGCAGCCCTTGGGAGATTTCGACGGCAACATGAGCCAGCAGACAGCTGACAGTTCGTGATGGTATCTCAAGGCGCCTAAGCAGACAGACACCTTATCTTGAGAATTACTTATTACACTTGTTTCTCCGTTTCCATTAATAGTTCACATGCGCAGACATTATTTAATACACAAAATCACACCACTTTTTCATATCAAAATCCTCTTCAAAGTATTAATTAAACAATAATACAGGAGCAGCAATCCGTCACCGCTCAAGTTCCCGCTAAAGTTTAGTTTAGTTTAGTTTACGACGGGCTGTTTTTCGCAACTCCACTTCTGTGCGCTTTTTTGCGTGTGAGCAGGAATAATGTAATTATTCGAGCCATGAGATCTCTGTTGTTGCACGTTACTTCGGGGAGTAATCCCGGCGTGCCGAGAATGTTTAGCCCTATATGTAGCGACTTCCGTACATTTCAGTAGCACATGGGCTGCCGTTTCTTTCTCCCCCATACATGATAGTCCCCTGTGCAGGGCGTTGTGCAGGGTGTTACAGATAGTCCCCTGTGCAGGGCTCACAGGGGACTATCTGTAACACCTATAGTAAATAAATATTTGTTAAAGGTGCCGTGTCCTATGATAGCACTTGTTACTATCCTGATCTGCGGCTTGTTCAGTTTCATTAGAACTTTGGATAAACAACTGTTTATTTCAGGCAGGGCCTCCCTAGCTTGTCTACAGTCTACTAGATTTTTCCAAAGCTGAGCGTATTGATTAGTGCAGTGTCTACGTACTAGTGAACGAACGTTACCAAAGGGGATTGGTATATATATATATATATATATATATATATACTATATTGGCCAGAGCCGATACTCTTCTGACCAGTTTGTCTGCTGCATCGTTGCCTCTGGATCCACCGAGTCCCTTTATCCATTGCAGAGTCACATTGTTGTTTTTACATACCTCATTTAATCGTTGATGACATTGATATATTAGTCCCTAAATCATCACATTGCAACTCAGAGCTTGTAGTACCGCCCTACTGACGGTCAGTATTCTGATGGACAAGTCATTAACCTTCCTAACATCTATTGCTATGGCCGCTTGAATGATAACCATACACTCCGCCTGAAAGACTGTGTTATAAGTACCCAGAGGTGTGCATATGTGGATATTGATGTCTTCAGAGAAAGTTCCAGATCCTACACCTTCATTTGTTTTAGAACCATCGGTGAAAACTCTAAGCTCTTTTGGGCTTAATCCTTCCGGCTGGCTGGTTTCATTTAATTGTATCTTGTACTTCTTATTGAATACAAATTGTTTAGGAATCTTATCGTACTTGGCTTGTAAGATAGGAATTTTTGAGTGAATTCTATCAATTATGCCTGTATGAGGGACAGTATTCTTACTCCAAAGATTTAAGGTCTTGAGTCTGATGGCAGCTAAAGTCGCTTCTTGTTATATATGTAGATGAAGCGGGGTTAACTCCAGCATCACTTCTAAGGCTGCTATTGGCGTAGTCCTTAGGCAGCCTGTGGCAGCCATACATACCAGTCTCTGGTAGCGCTACTAGTTCCCGCCAAAACCTCTAATAGAAGTAGAAGTATAGAAGCTACATATCATAGATAAATAAATATGTTTAGTTTGTGATTTATGTAGCAATCAAAGAAATAAATATAACATTTTTGGTATGCATAACGGTCTGAAATCGATTATTTCGAATAAAGTTGTCGATTTTTTCGATCCATTTGCAAGACTACATCGATTCAGTCCAGTTGATGGTAAGTGGATGCTAAGGCTCATAGACATCTTCATTTATTATCGAAAATGCAGATGCGTTGTCACAAGAAGTAGTGAAAAAATCAAATGCCTCGTTTCCATCAAAAAGGTTCTCTGGTTTTATACACTCACTATACGAAACACAGCAGCCTAAAGCTGCTACTCGTATTTTACGCTGCTATTCTGTGCGAGCGTGGTTCTAACACGGCTAAGCCGACCCATTCGTGCTACAACTATATAGCTGCAACGTGAAAGCTGGCTCAACTCTTTATCAACACAGAAACAGATTGAAAGGTTTTTATCAAAATTACTATTTCTTCAATCAATCGCCAAAAATATTGGACTATATAACAAATGAACTAGATATTTGTGAACTTCTTCCAATTTTTTTTAATTACTGTTTTACACTACATTGTTTATTAATTTCTTTTATTTCATTAATTATAAACCATAAACTACATGACAATTTTTTTATTCATCTAATTCTAACCTATTAAATACATGTCCAAAAACACCGATAATAGCCAACATCGATGTATTGTGTATGATAAACATCGAACACCGATGTTGAGCTATCGATGTCAACATCGATGTCATCATCGATGTTTCTACAACATCGATGATGACATGCTACTGACAGCTACTGACATGCCTGCCGCAGGGGCAATCTAGGGAACACAGCGATCGGTGCAATATCGAAGCTGTCTCTACACACACGCCTGCCGTTCAGTATGCGAGTATACGTATACGTCTTGCTGGACGCACGCGTTGATAATGGCGCCAGTGGTATCGAAATATCAATGAATAGGTATATATAGCCTTGGCTCTTTTTTATATAGAAAAAGGGTGACAAATGAGCACAGTCCACCTGATGGTACGTGAACACTGTGCAATAACAACCATAATATAGTGTATAAGCTGCAGCATAGCTCTGCCACGCTATGTTTAGGCTATCAAAGACAATTAAATATGACTAACTTCACTCGTCATAATTTAATATAACCAATTTATTCTGTGATATAACTTAACTAACTAGTGCTTAGTAACTATGATTTAACTAGTGTTACAAATAGCCAGGATAGTTTTCTAATGATGAGTTTTAATAAATTTAATTACTAAAATTTGTATTTTTGTTTAATTATTTTGTTAATGACGTTTTATTTATATTGCAGCAATTTTAATACTATTGGAATATTTTCTTTCCCACACTAGCCCTTATGATAAGTTAGGTAACAAATCCCAGTAATGATACTTGTGTTTAATAATGTGTACAAATGTTACTTGTAAGTTACAACATTCAAATAACGTTCTTTCTGCGGTTCTCACTTGTACTCATACGTGTGCTCAGCGCGAAAGTCGCAACGAACTGACTGAAATTGCCCCAATTCCGCTACACACGCAACAGCAGCAGGGCCGATCTAGGGAGCAAGGAAGGTCTAGCGCTCCTGCCGCCCTGCCGCAGCGCCGACTTAAAAAATTACCCCTGCTTGTCTACACACACCACAATTAAGAGGCAATTAAGGGTCATCCCCACTTCTACACCCTAGATTGCCCCTGCGGCAGGCATGTCAGTAGCCGCCTAAAGGGCTTTTCTCAGTCAGCGACAAAGCAACCACAGTCTCTGAGACAAAATTGTAACCATAGACAAAACAAAATTTATTTAAGAATGTTAAATATTATAGGACATTTTATAAAAAAAAAATATGAAATATATGTGTATCTAAACTTTTTTTTTGTTTGACAAGTAATTCAATAAGAAATTAAATACTCCATTTATTCATAATGTCATTAAAAAGGTAAGCTCCATTGACAGTTTTTCTCTATTAAACCGCGTTGACACGATCAAAGTCTGCTTTGACAAAGTAAATTCAAGGTTCACTTTGATACCGTTTGACACGTACATAGTTGACTTGGATCCGTTTGTTCATTTTTACCATCCCTCAAGAGTAACAACACCTATAAAAATATGTCTGACGAAACATATTTGTTACTAGACAGTGTAGGAATTATCGCAGACTTGTTAATGCCAGAGTTAAAACGAGTAAAGAAATGAAAAACCCGCAAAAGGAGAATTAGGACACACTCCTATATTCTACGTCACAATGAAATGGGAGCATCTAATATTATTTTTTTAATTTTTCTTGAGTGTATGTCGTTCGAATATTTTTAATTTTGCTGTTAACCTCTTCTATAGTAACACTTCTGCCTCATATAATTCTACGAATTTGAGAATATACCACTCACTCCACATTCTTTTATTGCGAGATGCCATTGTTTCTACATTTGACGCCATTTTGTTTCGTTTTTTGACATCTAAGTTGGTTTGAAAAGTAGAACACAGTCCAAGTCCACTTTGATTAACGCCCACATCAAAGCGCACTTTGATTGGTTCACACGATCAAAGTAGCGTCAAAGAACTTATCAAAACCACTTTGTCAAAACAGACTTTGATCGTGTCAACGCGGCTTTAAGTATGAAACCACAGAGTACCCTTATATATACTGAGATATTATGTAACTAAACGTGAAATTAGTTTGTGGCACAGAGTACTTTTTACAAACCGGAAGTTTTTGGGCAACTGGGCAGTGAATAAAGAGTATTAATAATAAGTTTGTTATGTTAGTATGATCACATATTTACCTATTGTATAATCACCAATGTATATGGAGGGTAAAGGTACCTTTACTTACCTTCCATACATTGTATAAGTATCTGTTGTCTACATAGAATTATTACGCATAGAAACGCAGTCCAGTACAAAACACGAGCGTTAAAATGATGCAAAGTCATTATGTTTAGTGGGCGCAAGTCGAATGTGCCTACGCTCGTCACACGCACACATACACGCCATTCAGTGATACCAGT